TACACCCCCTGCTGCCCCTCTTAGTCACATCTGACAACCTCACCTGCAGCTGCTTCCCCCTCCGCACCTCCCTCCGCCGATGCTTCCTGCCCACCTTCCTCCATCTTCTCCTCTTCCTCCTCAGCAGCCCGCTGTGCTTCCGCCTCAGCTGCTGCGGCTGCCGCTAGCTCCTCCGCTGGGTTGTACTCGCTGACGGCCCGGATCTCTCCGGCCCGCCATTTGGGAATCGTGACAGTCTGTGCCTCTTCATCCTCTTGGTCGCCATTCTGTGGCTGGAAACAAAGACAAAAACAGTTAGCTTGAATTCCAAGATAAAGCTCTCCTGGACCACTGGCTTGGCCGCTACAAATAAACAAAATTATATCATTTTCAAACTAATAATAAAAGGGTATTGCTAGAACTTCTTTAAAAGGCTCTGCTTCACAAAAATTAATGATGGTTGTCTTTCCAAGAACATCCGTACTAAATCAAGTTTAACAACCTGATAATGTTTATCCACTGTAAAGGCTGGTTTTAGACCCGGTGCAACAGCTAATGCAAAAGGGTTACATATTTCAAGTCGGGTGATCTTCTGCTTGCAAGTGTACTTGTCTCCACCACGATGCCACCAAGGCTTCTGGAGTAGGGGGTCCTCATCTGTTTTTTTGCAAAACCAGTTTGTAGGGACGTCTCCTCAACCCACTGGACTTCAAAAGATCAATGTGTCGGTCGATTTGTGGTACCAGCGGGTTAAGTAGGAAAAACGGCAACGTGTAAGGATGTCATCCTGGCCAGACGACTGTCTGTGAGACCTATGCACTCCTCACGTGCTTGCAAAGGGGATATCAAAGGATATCAAATGCTGCAGGTTATGCAGGTGACTGGCTTGTTTTTTGGGTCATGGTGTGGGTCAAAGGAAATGCCAAGATTGGAGCAGTTCAGTTCTGGAAACTTACCTGCTCCACTGGGACGTACTGACCGTGCTGTTCGCATCCGATGTCAAACAAATACTTGCCCTTCCCTTGTGGCTGCAACATAAACAAGAAAAAACTGTTACTTTTTCACCGACAGATAATATTAAACCTATCCATTTACAAAATGACAGCAATGCAACAGTGAAATTTCATGAAGTGCCATCCAACTTGGGCCGTACTTCAATTTCTGGACGGGAAGGTAAACATCAGCACCAAACTGAAGTGAACAAGCGTACAGCCACGCATGCGTCAAAAGCAGTAAGTACCATCTTCATTCCTAGTATATACTTGGTGTAGTCAGCAACATCATTGGACACATGCCTGTATTATGCGACTCAATCCTTTGGTCGGTGATCCCGAGGATGTGTGGTCGAGCATGTGTGGGACCCTCAAGGGGCCGTTAAAGGTGGGAATTTACGTTTAACTTGAAAAACGTTTTGAAAACTTTCCCACACTCCGTAAATGTTTAAAACGTCCCACCCTCACCATGGTGTCACTGAAAACGTGAAGCATAACAAACTGTGTGCAATGTAAATAGTTGATACAAAGTTCCGGTGATGAATTCATGGTATTCCTTTGCTATGACTGAGCAGTAAAGTGTTCCGAAAATCAGATTAGATTTTCCAGGCATCGTTTACAATAAAAATGAATGCCAGATTCCATCAATTAAAACTTCAAACCTCTAAAAGGGGCGGTCCCGTTTAAACATTTGGGCAAATCTTTCAACAGATTTTGAACTTTTTTATTTGAACGCTTAAACGTGTAAACGTCCCCTCCTTAGTGGCTGTGGGCCACAGCCAGGTGTTGTACCAAAAATCGCTCTGCAACACTATCTCAGTTTCAAAAAACAGTAATGCAAAAATCTGGGGCAAATGACCACTGAGGGTCAGCATCTCTGAAGCCTAATTTTGTGAAGGAGTTATGGCTGTGATATTGGTATTTTTGGCTAAAAAAAAATTAATTGTACCTAGGCCAAATTTGTTGTAGAATTAATGCTGTTGGCGTGGGGTAAAAAAGGGAGAGGAAAAAATCAGTCACCTGATCAGCGATCCATCCTCCCTGGAAACGATGGTTGGCGTGGATCAACTCTCCGGCACCCTCACGCTTGCCGTTCACCCAGGTGCCGACGTAGCGCGTGCCCGTGTCCTTGTAGGTGTAGACACCTTGGCCATGCCGCAGGTGGCTCTGCCACTCGCCTTCGTAGGTGTCACCGTTGGGATAGGTGTAGGTACCAAAGCCGTGACGCTGGTCATCCACCCAGTTGCCTGTTTTAGGAAGAAAATGGGAGTGATGTTTAGTGGGGTTATCCATTCTTAACTGCTGTGCCATCTGAGGAAGTTGGTGACTGCTGTTTTCTGTTTGTATTTTTGAGCTCTTGTTGAAGAGATAACCCAAGCTGCAATCCTGGACAAAATAGTCTCCCCATTCAATGTTGCGGTCTTTTATTGGACCAAGATTCGGCCCAGCTTACCCAATGAGAAACAACACTGACAGGGGGCAGGGGGGGAGGCATGTTCCAATGAGATTTGTCCAGGATTGTAGCTCAGCAAAGTGTACATGTGTACATTTCATCAAAATGGCACGAACCTAACATACAAGAATGCATGCAGATTGCATTTCAGCATGCACACTGCATACTGTAGATCCATGCATTCTGCCTGCCTTCATCTGGCTGCCTTCAGCTCTACGGACCAATGTTATTCATCCAGGGGGGTATGCTACATGTATTTTCCCACATTTCCACACAGGAATGTCCTGCATCACTTCTCAACACGGTCGTGCTTTGAGCTGAAAGTACCTTAACCCGTTGACGACGGGAACTTTTTCTGAAAGCCGACTTCGAGAGTTCCAGCCTTGCTTGGCCACAAAGGCCACCTGCCAAACCGCAAATTCTCGGTTTGTGGCCCTGCGTGCTCTGCTCGCTTTGAATTACACGGTGAAAAGGCTCATTGTTCGGTGGCATGCAGCTCTACTCACCCTTCCACATTCCCGTTGCCTCTTTTCAAAGTGGGGACTATTGTGAAGCTGGTGATTATGATGAAAATTTGGTCTTTTCATTTCTGGGCTACACACAAAGACCAATCACCATATATACAAGAGCCAGGGTCTGCCTTCTTTCACCGTGTTCGCTCGAACGTGGGCCGAGAATAATAGCTGAAAAGCGGGCTGAGGATCTCAATTTTTACGGCGGCTCTTACCGTCATCCGTCGCGAAGGGGTTAAGTCGCACCAGTTCCAATACCTTCCTGCACGTGAGTCCACAAGGGGCTGTGCTGAATGATATGGCCGACCTCACATGTGAACATGTTCTCCAATGACCCATGAGGCACGTCAGTTTGTGTAGGTGCTGCCTAAACTCCAAAGTTACTCATTCCCAACATGTCTACACCCCCTTGAGCCTCTCAACACTGCTTACCCTCATACTTGGAGCCGTCTGGGTAGATGAATGTTCCCGTCCCATGCTTCTTGTTGTGTTTGTACTCGCCCATGTACCGGGCACCATTCTTGAACTTGTACACACCCTGCAAGGCCAGTGACACAGGACAATCCACAGTTTAGCTTTTCAATGTACTTACGTGTACTGACCGTAAGACACAGTCCAATATACCACCTCGATTACTAAAATTAAATAAATCTATCGCATACAGAGTTAGAAAATAACCTGCGGATTGATGTTCTCATGACATCTCATGTTATGGTCAGGCTCACGGGTAATTTAAATATTCAAACACACAAATTGGAACTACATCAGTGCAGTTGTTTGGCGCATAAGTGCAATCGAACCTCATAAACCCGAACATGACATCTCATGTTATGGTCAGGCTCACGGGTAATTTAAATATTCAAACACACAAATTGGAACTACATCAGTGCAGTTGTTTGGCACACAAGCGCAATCGAACCTCATTAACCCGAACAGTCCTCAGTCCTCCAACAGGTGAAGGACTGAGGACTGTTAGGGTTAATATAAGTACTGTTTATACAACATTCTGCTTGTAACAAGGGAATCTGTACATGTAGGTCAAAATCCTTTGTTCTTTGTTCTTTTCATTCCTGATAACACAAGGTTTCGGTTGTAACAAGGTACTCTGCAAAGTCTGAAGGACCCCTTATTAATGAGAATCGACTGTACTGGCATCCTTCGCTTTTACTTACAAATGGCATGTATTCATATTTTCCACATTTGCCTGAGTTTTATGTTTGTTGACAACTCTCTGCAACTGCACAACTGTCTATTCTGTTCTCTATGCTGATTGGAGGTACAACTGGAAGTTCAAATACTTTTGTCAAAATCTACAAGATGCGTCGTCCACAAATTCAGACTTACATGTAAGTAACGTAAACAAATTTCACTGTCATCATCATGGTAACCAAACGGCAAATATTTCAAAAATTTGGCTCTGATCCTTTAGCAATTGGCAAGAGAGAACATCTATTGCTGCTCTCAAAAAAAGTAGGTGGCAGCAAATAAATGTGCTTTACAATAAAACTTTGGGCATTAACTTAAATTTGTCAGCTGGAATCCTGCAGATGCTTGCATCTCAATGTCTACAAACAATGAATCTTCATGAGTGCAATGGTAAGAATAATTTCAGGGGGTGACAGATGAAATGTTCCATTCCATTCCAGTCAGCTTCGCCTTGTGGAATGAAACATTTCCTCTGTCGCCAAATTTAGCAAAATCTAGCAATTTTTTTGCGCACAAATAAAGGATAATTCGCCTTACGGGATAGAACATTTTATTTGTCACCAAATTTAGCAAAATCTAGCAATTTTTTGACCCACAAATCAAGGTTAAAAGTACTGTAGGTTTTCTCCCTGGAATAACATCTCAGTTTTGCTCATGAATATGGAAATTTACATTAGCATTAAAATCCACGAAAGGACTACAAATCAGGTTAGACCTCTGTACTGATGACACCACTGATGATTTTTCTACAATATTTGTTTACATGTGTGTGTGTGTTTGCTATGCCGCTCTGTGGACGGTAAGCCTCCACTCGCTCCATAGGAAAGTGCACACATGCCGACATGTAAACAAAGTTTGATGTCATCAGTAAACAGGCCTATTGAAACACCACCCAGGTGCATGGTCAAGGGCTGTAATGACCCTGCATCCATGGCCCTTTACCAATACTCGACTTGGGCTCCGTCTCAGGCTTCGTTCCCAAAACCAATCCCCGACTGTGGGCCTGAAGCATTTAAATTAAATTGGATTACTGTAATTTCTGGCTCTCTTGCATCTTATTTGATGTTTTGTGGCACTATTGGACTAATTACTATGCTTACAGCTTCAAAGTCAGCTAGTTAAAAAACCAGGTGAAGCCTGAGACGAAGCCGAAGTTGAGTATCGGAAAACGCCCCATATCTTGCCATAAACCGGGCACCTACCTGGCCTTGTCTCTTGCCAAACTCATACATGCCCTCATAAGTGTCTCCGTTGGGTAGTGTGGCCTTTCCTTTACCATGTCTCTCCTCTTTCTCATTCCGTTCCCCCTCGTATTCCTGAAGCCACAAAAACAAATCAACACAACCTCTGCTCGTGAAAACAATGTCTGATAGAGAAATACAACTTGAACATTTGTCAGGCGTGATTCTTAAGTCCTTAATTTACGATTGAGCCTGGAAGTACAAAGTCTCGCAGTGAGCTTTCAAAACCCTTGCGAGGCCTGCCTACCGGGATTTTACATAGCATTGGCCTGTAACATTCTATTATTTTTCAAAGTGTGATTTCTGACTGAAGCCACCCCACAGAAACACGAGTCGTTAGAATTTTATCTTTACGTTTTTCAAGTAATACTGTCGAAAAGTCACCTGGAGATGGGTAAGAAAAATAAATTTTCCTTCAGGACCTTTCACTTCCGGCACTATCAATCCTAGGTCTCCTTGTTTGTGTATGTTTAGGTTTGATTCAGCACTTATGAGAACGAGAAATGTATACATGTATGTTGTGAAGATTTACATGTACCTGTAGTCAATGGGTTCTGGATTCATTTGGGCTGGCCTGACATCCGCAAAAGTTAGACGGGACTTGACAAGTTTTGTTAATGCCAATCATTTCTTTGATTTTATTTGTTACAAAATTTACAGCTGCTAAGCCAATTTCGGTCTCCTGTTCTTGTTGAAATTTTTACCAAAAGACTGCCACAGAATGACTTTGTCACTTTACGCCAAGATACACTGATCATCAAATATTTCAGAGTTTTAGAAGTGAGAGGTCAATTTTTTGGCACAATTAGTATTTCTCTTTCAGGTCAGGCAATTTTTCACTTTCTACAGATTCTAAAATTATTTCATAGGAAGCTCTTTCACAAAGTCCCCACTATTTGTGGGTTGTACAGGACCAAGGATGCAGAGGGAGTCTAGCAGACTGGCCCGGGTCTTATTACTTTAACTCACTGTACGTCGCCGAAGAATGGGCCTTTAGTTAATTATCAATGCACACTAGCACACTAGGTACATGACCATGTACATTTTAGCTTCCTTCCATTAAGACGTATACAAACCAAGCGAAGAAGTTCTCCTTCAAATATATCGGTTATGAGGGGCAGCGAAAACATGTCACCCAACAGCGAATGCTTCCCTTGGTGTTACATATAAGATTGTAATGATCAGATGATGTTTCCAAATAGGACAAAAATAAACACATTTGGAAAATGAATTTGGTCGAAGTCATGACCACTTGTTACTGCAGCGTACTGTGAGTGTGGGATGGGACCCAGGGTAGGGAGGTAGTCCACTACCTTGGGGGCCTAGGCCCCATTTATGGAGCTAAACAGAGACTGAAGTTATTGACTCCGGTAAGAGTTCCATAGCCTATATTTATACAGACATCACCAGTTTTCCCTTTCAGAAGGCCCAACGTTAACTGTTAGTTAATAGGCCAAGGTAAAGGACTACTGCCTAGTTAGCCATCACCACATCGGCATCATTCAGAGTCAGAGTAATTGGCTTTGGAATTCCTAAAGCATACATAGTCAAATTTAGCACTGAAAATGTTGAACCATTCATTTGGAAACACTTGGAATTTTGCAGACCAGTCCGACAACGTTTGCACATAGGGTGTCAAATGATGTCTGGATATGGAACTATTTCCTTGACTTCCAATGTCTATGAAACTATGAAACTGAGATTTACATGGGGTCCGAAAACTGGGCAGGATTCTTTTTATGACAGGCCCAGGCCCTAGCCTACATTGTAGGAATTTGGAAAGCAACCATGGCCCTCCTGATCCCTTTTAACTACACTTACCCCCAAATAAGGCCCTTGTTCCTCTTCGTCGTAGTCTGAGCCAAGATCCGACATTTTTGGAGATTTCGAGTTATTTTCTCAAAAAGGTTAGGGAGCAGTGTTGCAGCTTTCGTGTATCAGGTTGTTTTTTTTTCTAGTTCAGCACTTGATAAATAATATTTTTAAACGCCCAATTAGAGCCCAATCGTGTGTAATAGTGATGTAGCAAAACACAGGGAAGCGCCCGGTTGGGCGAAACAGCATTGCTTAGCAACGGCCGTGCGGTCAAACCTGTTTGCCTTGTCAACAAAAGTGGTGGCGCTATACATGTATGGCTGATAGGCGTCGCATACTACAGTGCAGTCACTGCAGCACAGACTGTCGTGTTTTGCAGACATGATTTAGTAACCATCATGGGCGTAAATCCTGGGGGTGTTATCCAAAATCCCAGGGGGGTGGCCTACTACTGAATCATCCCCAGCCCAATTTTTTGTGGTGAGCCAAAAATCAAAGCTGACTGTGACGAATATTTTAGACTTTCGAGGACTTAAGTGCATTCAATATCTCTCAAAAAATGGAAAACGATTATTAAAAGCCATAAACATGCCATTCTGAATGCATCAAACAGATGTGGATCAATATCATGAACATCGACCATATAGAGTCATATGATGTCATGCCCCCACCTCTGCTTTTTAAATTTTGATGGTCGGGCAAGTCATCCCCCACACATTTCCGCATCCCCCATCCGCCCCAATTTCCAGCACAGAGGTGCCACTAGTACCCATTAATTACATGCACATGCAAACTGCAAAACATGGTGGTGAGTCTTGAAGAATTAATTATTCAAACGCCGAGGCTATCTTCCGTAAACATGTTTTTGGTAACGGAACCCCACACCCGTTTGTTTTCAGAAGCCATAGGGCTGTTGGCCTACACGTACATGTATTGCGTCGTCCCCACATTACGCTATTTTGCCTAGGGTCACATGTACAGTAGAGCCTACATGTATCGCTGCTACATTTGGAAATTTTTCACCACAAAATAATTCTACTGTTTTGAAAGAATTAAGTTTTGCCGCTGCAAATAACCAGAGACAGTGCTAGCATAGATTCTTCTCTTAATTGGGGAAATAACTTAGTTTCCCCAATAAACTGTGCAGACACATCTTAAAATCCTAAGTAAGACAATCTTCTGCTTAAGTTGTTATTCTCTCTACTTGTATCCCCAGTAGTGCTGGTGCAAATCGATTTGCCCATTGTCCACTGACCCCGTTAATGCGTTCTCCAGGTTGAATGCATTGCCTAGACACAAAAGCCGGCATGTTAGAAGTCGACATACCCACACATCACAGAATTCCTCTTTGCATGCTTCTACACAGTCGACGCAATAGAGGAGTGTCATCGACCAAGGAATTGAAATCATGATATTTTCACGGCAAGTAGGCTCCAGTCTTCGAAATTACAGTTTCATGTTTTTTAAAAACATAATGGAAAGTTTCCAACAGATGGAAAGAATCTCGTTGGCTGCTTGACGCGTTAAGCTGGTTATGGCGTCCTACATTAAGTACATCTTCTTTGCAGCCCTGACGTTGTCACTGGCTATTTCTCTGGTAATTGAGCTGGGTCCGTTCAGTGTGGCAGTTCTTCCGAGGTTCTTGAATGATGAAGGTGAGTGACCATTTTCCTTCGTCGCACCTGCCATGTCATTGTCATTGACAAGCTTAAAATTTTCCTGGTAGGTGTAAAAGTTTCGAAAGACCATTGCAACGCCTAAAGGTCTCAGTTGTTTGTTACATACATGACAGTCTCCCCTGTCTCATTGGGGTTTATGGGTTAAAGTGTCTATAATTGAATATAAAGAAGCATCTTATCATTGAATTTCTTTTCAAAAGATACTAGTAACCACTTGTTTCTTGTAGGGAATAATACAGCAACAACCCTTCTCAGCTACGGGGACCAGAAAAGGTACAGGATCA